TCCTATCGCACTTTTTCATGAGCAAAGATAAACAGTTGACAACTGGAATGACTTGACATGTTGGACAAAACCAATTTGTGTCAGCAACCTTGTTTGTCTCTCTCACTTCTTGGACGGATTTGCCTACACATTTTGAACAGTACGCTCTAATGCAGCTAGAACAGGTTATTCCGATCTTAAGGACTTTACTGCAACGGTCTACGCAACATAGGCGACGTTGAACCATTGTAATGCTTGTCGTCCTCTTATTGTTTACAGCAAGGCCTCTCAAAGCGCTCACCTTGATGAGTGTTCTTTGTGCTAGGGGTGACGCACTAATAGGTCAGAACCCGCACACAAATTGAGTTGTTCAACCGCACCAAGGTATAGCGGTGGAGGCAGATGGTGGTCGCAACACGTAGATTGTCAGGTTCAGCGATCAATCGACTCGCATTTGAACACACACACACACACACACACACACACACACATACACACAAAGCGGCAGTGTGTGTTAATCGGTCTGCGTTAAGCGACGATGCAGGTGGAGCGCTGATAAGCGTCTCTAGAGCTGATCAGTTGATGAGCGGAGCAAAAAGGCTGTAACTTGGTTATGCTGCAACTTGCAGAGATGGTTGCCGCGTAGCTTGGGAGTCTTTTAGCTTCTTCTTCTTCTTCTTCTTCTTCTTCCGCATGAGACCAAAATCTTTTCCGGAAAACCGGTTTGATGTAGTTACACAAGTGGAATTCGGCAAAGAACATGCCGAAAACTGGGAATTGGCGCAAGAGTATAATCCACACAGGTTAGATCCAAGAGTTGGGAAGCACTGCGTAGAGGTCGTCGAACTGGTTCGAACGAGCGCACGCACAATATCGTGTGGGGAGAATTAGAGTGGCCACAGAGGGCAAAGCGAGAGCCGAGTTAAAGTGCGGCCTCAAGGGAACTTGTCACACGATTACAAGAGCACAAAAGAGCATGTAAAAAGCACTATGCATCATCGCTAGTCTCAGCACACGTGGATGAGAAAGAACACAGCTTCGATTGGGCCAAAACAGAAGTTCTGGCACAAGGCGAAACAAGAAGAGAAAGGGAGTTCCTGGAAGCGTGGTTCTCAACAAAAGACTCGATCAACATGCATATCGAGATTGACTTAGCTTATCAACCCCTCCGACGGAGATCACTTAGAGAAATTATGAGACGCCACTTGAATAGGAACAACCCGAGCGACGACTTCCGCCACGGAGAAATGCGCAGAGATCACGGGACGCAGATCGGAGCCGTCACTTTCGAAAACTCGCCTGCACGCCGATCACGGATCGATAACTCAATCAGCGAGATTACAGTCCACATCTCGACGCACTGATGATGCCGCCTCGCATGGCGGTGAAACGTTTGCAAACAAATTTCCCAGCTCGGCGAACAAATGAGCAACTGAGTTATCAACCCGAGCTACCAGTTTTCCGAAATATTTTAAACTGGTACCCAGTTAGTCCACTGAACAGAAAATCGTTGAAATGAGCCGGATTTTGTTAGCGCTCTGCTAGTGAAAGATTTTTCTTTCTGAGCGATAATTCAGCAACCTTACAGGTTTCCATTTGCTGTTTGCCTCACTGTTTGCTTGTGGAGATTCGGATTCGTTAACAACGCAATGCAGCGTGCGCTACGAAACGAAATGACCACCGGATGTTTATAAACGCCGAGTATAGGACTATAGCCTTGCGGTGCGGCTTGTTGTGCCTCATAACACTGCGCAAGCCAGCAGTAGGGAACCTGTGTTTAGGATGCTAGTGTTTATCTTACAGACTGCACGCTGTTTGATGCAATCCTGCTCAGCATAAGCACTTAAGTAACATAGGCAAAAATGGAGCGTGCTCCATAGTTGGATTTGAGAGTGCTTCATTTTGCTAACATATGTTTGTTCGACAATTTTTCGTTTCGAAGGCTTTCGACATTGTCTTCTATTCGCGGCTATGACTAATGTTGGGGTCAGATGCAATATCTCACCATGAGCTTCAGTGAGTGGCAGAATTCCTGTGTTAAGAAAAAGCGGTGTGTACGCGTAGCCTGTAACCTTAGTTTTTACAATCTGTCCTTGACGGCGTCTCACATTCGCGTCCCACATCAAGTGATTGAACACCAGAACTTACTTCATGAGGCCATGGTTGCAACATTTGTGGTTCACAGTTTTTCGAGTCGACTGGGTGCTGTTAGTGGAAATGGCATATCTGTCATTTCTCCTAAATGAATCCCTTCTTTGAATTTTTTCCTCCTTACAAGCTGTATTGTTATCGTTTGCTTAATCAAATTTCGGCTTCCGTTCTCTCGAGCAATCTTCTGTTACGTCACCGGCCAAACGAGGTTTGGTAATGCCGGGTAGGTATGCATTAATATATTGACCGGGGTGTAGCTTCGGATGGGAAGAGTGAGGATGAGCTGCAAGGCTGCCGATGTATTGACAGTTACTGAAACCCTCACGACTTCTGGATAGTCAAATGTCAAGCACGCAGGTCTGCGGTCGTCACCCATGGCAAAGTGGCACTAGCTGCTGGCATCCAGAAGTCATGGGGGTGAAACCTGACAAGGGTCCGCCAAGATGCGCACCACTAACGAGATCCAAATGGTCGAAACGTCGGCGTCTGGTGCTTTCCAGACTAGCTTAAGCCTGCTGACTAAGTGGCAATGATGAATTAGCTACAGTACACTAGTCATTTATTTTGTGTGATCCAACATACTATCATTATTGTATGGTCGTGCATTTACATGGAACAACATCCGTTTCAGATGCCGTGATGCGCAAAACTTTAGTTGAATCCAATTAAACTTTAATCATTAATCAAAGTCGACGCTGGCTACACCGTATTCCAAAAATGAAAGCTTCCATTGGAACTCCAAAGGAGGCTCCGGGCCCAGTTCACGACCTCTGTGACCCTTCACTTTGTTATTATACCCACTTTTGTGAACTTTTTGGCATTTTGAGGAAAGACGTGACAGGCTGGTGTAGATTACGGTTGGTTACAATTCAAAACGGCGGATATATGACATAGAAATTTCATAGAACGAATGGCGGATGCTGGGAAACTTTTTGCTGTAAGCACGAAATTCGTGTCTACGGGACCAATTTCGGACGCCCATAGATGCAGAATAGAGATCCCAGGACGGCGGAATGCCGAAAATTTTTGCTGTTCGTTAGAAATTCGTGTCAATGGGACACATTTCAAATGCCTATCAGGCGGTCGTGCCTGCATGGATGGAGATAGCCGATACTCACGACGGTGCGACTGCAAGTACTTTACCTGCAGAGAGCACGACGGAATCACTATTCAACAGAATAACCTGAATTCATCTATTTCGCATGTTCTCATCAGCTGCTTACCTACAAGTTGTAGACTAACTAAGTTGCATACAATGACATCTGACGTGTGGTTAATTGGCGAAAGTTAAGACGGTCAAAGGTCATCGGGCTCATATGTCTTCCGTTTGGATGGAAACAAATACGGACCTCACCAGGATAGAGTGGGACTAGTCACAAAATCTGTTTGTTTAATAATAATTTTTATTGTTATAATCTGTTTGTTTAGATAAACTTGGTTCTAGTCCTCGAATCGCTGATGCCTCGGAGAACTGAAGCAGGCGGGGAGATCTCATACTGGTGTATCAAGTTCTAAAAACCCCAACCACACATGCCACTCTTTTGAAACAGACAAAATACGTCTCCGAGGTCATCAGTTTAGGCTGGTCACGCAGTACAGGCGACTGTAATGTCGATGAAACTTTTTCGCCCTCCGAGTGTCACAGACTTGGAACGCCCTCCCGGTGCACGTAACAAATGCTCCACCCTATCCCTTTACAAAAAACGTCTTGACACATTTACACTAGTGACATAGCCCGTGACCAGCAAATGATGGTATTAGTGTTATAACAAACAGTGGACGGCATAATAACCCCCTAAAATTCAGGCAAGAATACTCGAGCATGTGCTACCCCAAACCCCTTGGTGAGTCACGTATTTCACACGTTGTTTTACGAGCACGATTTTTTTAATTATGCGATCTTCACCCTAACCATCCTACGGGATATTCGCTTTTCTACCCGTCAAAAACCATTGCTCATTTTCTCAATTACTTACCCTGAACAAGCGGCGGGGGTTTTGGCACGCAGATCAAATGACTGTGCGGCGAGCAACTGAGCTAGTAGATAACTTGGGGCCATTTGCAACCATGTTAGGGTGATGTGCTCTGCGATCCACGCAGACAGCCTTCTCTCAGTTCGGATAACGTACTTGCTACCGCAAGTACAGTGAAATAGGTAGACACATGAAGCGGTAACTCAACAGTCTGGTCTGTCTATGTTGGGTTTGCATAGCAACCTTTTTGTTTGGTACAATACTACTTTTCAACTGCATTATAATATTTTTTAAAAGATGGGCGGAGACGATACCGACATATTGTGTCAACTCGTTCCTCTTTAAGTGGTAGCGTAATGAAGACCTTTTTCTTGGGGGCATCAGTTGGTGGTTTCTCCTTGGGTTTAGAGTTCGTGTGTCGCCTTATGTATAGCTCAGGATATCAGTTCTCTCGTAATGTTGTGGTGACATGCTGAAATTCACTTATGTTTGTTTATGGAGACCAAATTTTAGGAGAACTAGGGAAGGTAGTACTGACTAAAGCTCTGTGCTTCCCAGGACAGAAACTACAAAAATTGGTGGTATTCCCTTGTCCATGTTGCTTTCCTGTATAGAAGCCGAATGAGTGTACCATATGGGTTCCTCTGCAGAATAACTACCTGCAGCAGTGAGACAATCGTTTCGCTGACGGCGACACATAATCTCCAAACGGATTTAGTGGATCTGCTTCAAGGCGATTTAACAGAATCTCGTCCTCAATCCGATAAATGTGTACACCTCATCAATAATACCGCTAGATCAAACATGGGTATGAAGATAAAGCATGAAAAACGGAAACAAACACAGCACGTGGCTATAAAAACAATTGAAAACAAACCGGAACACTGATGGACTAACCTGATGCAGTGGAGGAGAGTGACGGCGTAGTGGTGGTCACGGTATCTGGAGCATTGATCAAAGGTAATAGTGTTATTGAAGAGCGCCGAAAAAAGCACATGACAACTAATTCGACGCAAACAACACCGAGGGGTGGACGTTAGTACAATAGCGCGCTGGATTTGTGCTATCATATCTGAAGATGCACCACCATATGAGTAACCAAATGGGACCAGTGAGCGTTACCGCAAACAAGTGGCACTGACCTCCTGGTAGGGGTGGGAGATAGAGTAACGGCGACGATGGCCGGTGAGTTAAGTGGGCTTAAAGGAAGGTATGACAATTCTACACCATTTCCGGGCCAAATTGTCCTCTTGGGCAACAGAACTAATCTGAGAGGGCATTCAACAAGAGTCTACTGAATTAATTTGTTCCGTGCGTTGGAGCTGAAGCGTCCCACCTGCACCCCTATGACTTAGTGCGTCTGAGGTCTAATTGGCTGAAGGCGACGGGCTACACACGAACACCTACACACCTGCACAAGTGACTGGAGTACGCACGGAACAAGTTAATTGAGTAGACTCATGTCGAATGCCCCCTCAGATTATTTCTGTTGCCCCAGAGGACAGCTTGGCCGGGAAATGGTATAGATGGGGACATTTTACGCGGGAAAATAATGTCTGACATACTAATTCGAATACCTCGCTGTCCCTAGGGCAAGTACCAAGGTGTTGCAAAGGTTGCCCGATGGCAGTAATCAGTCAGCAAACATGAACAAACAGTAGCATCGGAAAACAGTCCAGACAAAAGTGACTGAACAATGGTCAAATTAAGGAGGCATTCAGCATTCAGTGCGTGGTTCGATGTAGCACCAGATAGTCAACGGCCACTTACCACCCGGTAAACCAGCCGATAGTTCCTAATAAAGATAAAAAACTAACGCAGGCACAGGCTGACAACTACCGTAATTCTAACCACGCAGTAAACTGACCCATAATGGTTACTGGGGGGCAGAGCCGTCAGAACAGACTTCATCGCACCGGATAGCGTATTGAAAAGATGTCAAATCACATGGCAGTCAAGACAGCCGCATGATCGGCGGTCCCATGAACATGAACCACAGTCGGGCAGTGAATGAACTTCACGGTCAGACGTGTGGGACAAAGTTGCACTTTTAAGGCACCAGCTCACCTGACATAACATCTTCCCTTTGGAAAATGCGCTGCTCCTAAAGTGCAAGCTGCACACGTAAACGTCGGATCAGTTTTGTCTGCATGGATCGCCGAGCGAATCCATGACATTGCTCTGTACATAGTTCTGCCAGCTCACTGGGCTCCATCGCTTTTGGTAGTTCAAACGTGTCTAGCAGCACATCTAACAGCAACTCAGAAGTGCAAATGACTGAATGTTCGGCCCGTTGGCTGCGTAACCGTTTGTGTCGAACGAAAGACAGCGGTCCGATAGGCACCTCGTACAACACAGTGCTCTTCATTTTCGCACCACTGCAGTTTGCCAGGTTTGATGGTTCGGTCTAGTATCAACGCAGACACCGGCTCCAACGGAAGAAAACTCCTACCCACGCCTGACGCGAGTGGCCTTTGGGTAACTTTAGGGCGTGTTGTGTCTATTGGTAGACGTATTTCACGCTCGAATATAGCTTCCGCTGAGGATTTGCCGCCAGGTGCAGCGGGGTTAGGCGTAACCCGATAATTTGGCAGGTACAGCTGTATGATCTCCTCTGTCGATTCCCCCCCCCCAGTTTTATAAGTGAAAGCGTGATGGTATCCCCAAATCTAGAATCGGAGATAAACTGTGTACCATTATCGGAACCCAATGTGTTTAGTGAGCCGAACACTGCAAATAACTTGTAGTTGTCGTATTGTGACCGCTGTTAAGATAGTATTCATCAGGCACACTGGCCATTTGAGGTAGGTATTAACCACAATGAATAAACACTGGCCTTGCACTGAGTCGACGAAATCAACACAAATATCTCCAAAATATGGTGGTTAGCACCCGGGCTTGGGGATTTTGCTTGGGAGTTTCGCTGATGATGCCCGATTTGTGCATATGGCGATGCATTCTTGGATAGCAGTCAACAAAAGGTCAGAATACGTAACTCCGGGCTAGTGCTTTCATACGCAATATTCCGGAGACATGTAGGTGCTAATATCTTAATACCCTTGTCTGTAAGATTTCGGAACAACGACGCGTCCACCGAGCGTAACAGTATCATCGATCACTGCCAAGGAGTTAGTTTGACAAAAAATTGAAGATGTGTGTCAGTAATCCGATTTGGTCACTATGTGTTTGAAATATGAATAACTTTATGCAGAAGAGGGTCCAGTTTGGTGTGCTCCTGATTGTTCACAACAATAGCCGGAGGTGCTCTGATTGAATTACACAGTAGGCATTTCCGGTCCGATTCCAGCGCAGCTGATACGATCACCTGGTCTTCTTCATGCTCGGCTGTTTTGCGATAAGTCGAGGCTGCGCATCGGTGCAGTTGAAATCTGCCGTAGACACAAGAGCATTCACAAAATTATATTCGATCAGCAGTGTCGCCCAGCGTTGGAGGCGGTTCGCCGCTACACACTTATAGCCTTCTCCGAATCGAAAACGGCAAACAGTGGCTTATGGTCATTCTCCAATACGAATTCGCTACCCTGCAACATCGGGTGAAAATTTTTGACAACGAAGGTCAAATTCAGTGCCGCTTTCTCGATGTGTGAGTAGTTTCGTTCAGAATTGCTTAAAGGACCTGATGCGTAGGCAACCGGTTGAACCACTGATGGAGAACCACTTCAACGCCATAACTAGGCATCTGCGAATAAAATGATATCCGTTTTAAAGTCATAATATGCCAACATTAAATAAGCTACAAAAGCCTTCTTACTGAGGCTAAAGCATTCCTCGCATTGAGTTGACCAAAGCTACAGACGATTTTTATCTAGCAACTCATTTATTGGCCTGCGAAGTCGATGCATATCAGAAATAAAAGCACTGTAATAACTCACCTTGTCCATGGACGACTGAAGATTAGGTATATCGTGTGGTGCAGGTAATGCGTCTATGACGCGCATTTTTCAATATCAGGTCTTCGTCCGTCACGATCGATAATAAAACCAAGGTATTTCAGTTGAGGCATAAATAAATGACATTTATCAGCTCTTTCAGTCAAACTGTAAGCTTTTAAATATCTGCAAGAAGCAGAAGCTATGCTGGGTGCTGTCTGATGATGCGACGATGATGTAATTCAAGTATGCGTAAATCGGTGGTATGTCCGCCAGACTCGTAGCCAACAGTTGTTGAAAGAGACCCGGGAGGGCGTTTACTCCGAAAGGTGGCCGATTGTACTGATACAGACCACAGTGGGTGAAGACGCCATGCGTTATCATCGACGACCACTAGAAACTAGGCATCCGAGAGCTCAATCTGAAAAAAATTGACTGCCGTTGAGTCTAGTGAAAAGATCTTCCGGAAGTGGCAGCGGGTATTGTTGGAAATTCAACGCTGCGCTCAGGCCGGTTTGAAAATCTCCACATAAGTAAAAGGTTCCGTTTGCCTTCTTCACTATTACTATATCCAGTCTGAGTATTCCACTTTAGATATCACCCATGATTACTCCAAGCGATTCAGTTCGTCGTCAACTAACTTAAGTGAAGCATAGGTACCTGGCTTTTGGATTTAAAAATAGGCTTAGTGGCATCTTTTAGATAAAGAGATGTCGTGAACTTGGTGCAGCAGCCAAGTGTGGGGTTGGATACCTTTAAGAATTGCTTCTCCAGGTCGTGGGCAACAGTAGAATTCACTGCTGCGTTGCATTGTGACATGTCCGAACCGGACATACTTCCCTCCTTTTGCTCGCACACCCCACAAGTTCGACGCGGTGAGCTAATCAACACCAAGTATGTTTAATCCCGGGACGTCAGAATCGTGACAGATACCGGTTCGCTCATCGTTTCCGTAAACACATTGGTAGGAAAACACCATATAACCGTAGGATACTGTTTTCTGTCGTGCACTTTCATAGACATCTCTAGATGCTCTGGCAGATATTTTTATCAACCATCACGATCACTGACATTAGCTCTCTCGACTGCAACCTCTGTGAGTCACATTTTAACTTGATCAGACGCTGACACTGCAGTAATGTCCTGAGTGGTGAATTCTGGAGATGAGTCCATTTTGGATAACATACTTGTTACGATTTCTGCATCAGCTGCAGAGGTTAAAAGGGATACAAAAATGATTGACTTGAACTGATCGTCTGTTAGTTGTTTGGGAATTAAACGTTCGTGTGCATGGTTCACTCTGCCTCCGTATGAAACATAATCCCGGGAATGTTTTTTAACCACATACAAACACCGACAACGGATGTTGAAAATTGATGACTTTTCACCAAAAATGGAAGTGCGAACATAGACAGACTCCTAAAAATTGCGGTCGCGAGAATGTTAAGGTATAATGAAATTACAGTATTGGTCGTGTCCATCTACGCAACAACAACCGTACTTTGGTCACATCGTCAAGCGTGATCGCATCCGCCAAAAGATGTCCCGTACAGTCCGTACCAAGTTGTGAATGTGATGCAGTACTCTGCGTCATATTGGAGATCTCGCATTCCGTTTACCGACGCTCCAGCTGAAGTGGACTCGGTTATCACTGTGGTGGATGTCAACTTAAGGGATGAGAGTTTCTGTGCAAGTGCTTAAAATAATAATGTCTGTATTTGTTCTTGTTGAAGCATAGCCCGCCGTTATGCTGGATATAATCAAGATGTTGTTGCAGTAATTGCGTGAGCTGTAAAAGATCAGCCATTTTGGTCGCAAGTGTTATAATCGCGGTTAATGGAGAGCAGAGCCGTTAGAACAAAGACTTCACCGCACCGGACAGTGTACTGACCAGACGTCAAGTCACAAGAAACAGGCAAGACAGCCAACAATATATGGTTGGGTAGAGGGTGTGTCAGACAGGCCATCACGCATGATCGGTGGCCTCATGCAGATGCCGGCCAGTAGTCTTAAGGATCACAAACCTGCCTTGTAATCCGAGGGAGGGGTTCG